ACGTGAAATTGACACTGCGTGATTTAGGCGGTGACAACACCGTGCGTGTGTGCGTGTCTTGTGTGTTGCTGCTTCTACTGGGATTGTGTTTGGGTGGTGGCAGTCTTCTGAGCCACAGAGTGTGGATTAGCGACGCCTCACGGAGAATAAATGCCGCATTGCCCGCGCATTTTTAATTATCTTTTATTTCTTTAAAGTTTTTACTTTTAAATGCCTTTTTAATGCAGCTCAGCTGTAGTGGTAAGTATTGTTGTTTTTTCTTTGCGTAATGTTTGGTTGCTGCACACTGTAATGAGCGAATTGTTTCATCCTCTTGGTTGTTTTTGTTTTTGCCCACACGCGGTGCCGGCCCTGCGGCTGTGCGTCCCATGGACTGCACGAAAGGAGGATTGAGGAGAACAGGCAGGATGCTGCATGAAATGTGAAGAATGTTGTGTGGGCTGGTGGAACAGTGCGATCTTTTTTTCTTTTTGCCTCAATTTTTTTTTTTTTTTTTTTGGTGCGGAGAATATTTATATAAAAACAGTCGCTTTGTGCTGCATGGCAAATGAAATAAAAGTCCAGCAGCATCAATTTTTCATTAATTTTTTTGTTAATTTTGGGAGTCATGCCGGACTCCCACCCATTCTTTTTTTGTTTTTTTTTTTAATCCCTGCGGCTTGTTTCTGTAGTTACCGTATCTGCTGTCACTGTGTGTCTTTGTATCCCGTTGAGTGTTCCTCTGCTGACTGTGCAGTTGACATGCACTCATTTCTTTTTTCCTGCTAGAGGCACCGATGGTCCGCGACGACGATTGTTTGTGCTCCCCATTGCGATGGCACTGGGGTGACTGGGCGCCGGCCTGCTGAGTGCACTCGGACGGGAGCGGATGTTGTGCGCCGTGCCTCACTGTGGGTGTGGGACGCCACTAGCCGTGCGGAGAGAAGTAAATGGCTGTGCGGTATGTACTTGTATCCGCCCGTTCCTTTCTTTGCCGCCGTGTGTGTGCTGTGCGCATGACACTATCTTGCGGTGTGACGTGGATGGCGTTGCTATTGCATGTGCCCTTGTGCATGCGCTGTGCGGCGGGCTTCTCTTCCCCATGACACCGCCCTTTTGTGTGGGACAGTGGAGGGAGTGGAGATGTGTGAGGGTGGCCGTTGTTTCCGCACATTTGTGTTTTTCCACAAAAGTGAAACCTCTCGGCAGCCTCTTGCAGCACCAAGCCGTGGATTGAGAGGCTGCTAGGGTCTGCTCCAAGCAGTAGGAGGACAACAAGATGCAGTGCATGACGGCCAACCTGATCCACGTGTGGTTGCAGCGCATGGAGCACGTGCGCCAGTACGCGTTGGGCGTTGCGCTCATGATTGTGGAGGAGAGGCGGCACGACATTGTGGCGCTGTGTGTGTTGCGCGGCCGGGGCATGCCGGCGATTGTGAGGGACGTGGAGGACATGGAGCTGCTGGACTGAGGGAGGAGGTGGCGGATGTTGCGGCGCAGCGGGAGCGCATGACGGACTGCCTGTGGTGGGAGGTCCCGACGATCCCGAGGCCTGTGCTGGAGGGGCGCGTGTTGGAGTGAGCGTGGCGTGCCTGTGATGGCCTGAGGAGAGAGAACAACAGTAACAGTGACTGTGGGAGTGTAAGGAACGGTGCACGGGCGAGGAGCATTCCCTTTTTTTTTTCTTTTGTTTTTGAACCGCGCTCAGCTAATTGTTGTTGTGGTGCGTGACTCTCATTGCTGGATGGGGCGGTGCGTGGCTGTGTGACTTGTCTCTCCTTGTTGCTTTCACACTGCGTTGACGGGGTGTTAGTTTGTGCTGAAGGCTACACGCAAGTGACAGGAGTGATGGCGATGATGATGACTGGCCGTGTGCTGCTGGTGTGTGCCCTCTGCGTGCTGTGGTGCGGTATTGATGGAGTTGCTGAGACCGAGGAACCTGGAATTGGAGTGGTGCCCGGTGTGGATGAGTATTTGGTTGTGCAGTGGCGTACGCGGCTGCGAAGGGAATGCGCGTAGGAGGTCGGCAGGAGGACAGGAGGCAGGGCGAATGCGTCCACCGTTGAGGAATGTGTGTGTGAGGGAATGGAGGGTTTGCGTGCCGTTGTGGATGGCCGCAGTCGTTGGAGACGTCAAAGTCCTGCCGTTGCTGCTGCTCCTCCTGCTGAAGATAGTGGAGACAGGGAAGCCAGCACGGTGGAAGTTGACAGGACAAAGATCAACGAGGCTTCGCCGTCCGAAGATGAAAATGAATTATTGGTGGATTCAAGAGAAGCATTAACCGGTAAAACAACAGAAATTCAAAAGAAGTTACTGCATTCCGAAACTGCTATCGTGCCGCCTCAAAAAGGAACTTCAGTTCCAGGACATGGAGACGAGAAAAAGACAGAGAACCAAGAAGAAGGAGACGATGGAAAAAAAAAGGCGGCAGAAGAAGACGAGACAGAAGAGGAAGAAGAAGAAGATAAAGCTGAAAGTGCAGAAGAGGAAGAGGCTGCACAAGACCACGAAGATGAAAGAGAGGAGGAGAAAGAGGGAGAAAACAAAGAAGATAAAGAAAAAGAAGAAGTTGAGAAAAACACAAGGAAAGAAGAAGACAAGTATGGGGTGGAAGAAGATGAAGAGGATGAATAAAAGGATGATGACAACACCTCAGAGGGGATGCCGGCTGGCGGTCAAGAGAAAAGAAATTCAACTTCAGGTCCGGAAGGAGCACCGAACAAGACGAACACCGAAGGCACTCAAAAGGCTGGCGACAGTGACGACAGCACCGCGGTCTCCCACACCACCTCCCCTCTTTTACTTCTTCTTTTTGTTGTTGCGTGTGCGGCTGCTGCTGCGGTGGTGGCCGTGCCTGCATGAAGTGGTGTGCGCCGAATATGAACGAAGGCCAAAAGGCAACTGAATTATTTTTGTGATGAATATTGGCTGCAATTTCCGTCGACCAACAATCCACGTGGTGTGAGGGGATCTCTCATTTATTATTGTTACTTTGCTTTAGTGCTGCTGTGTGCGCTGCACCTCCTCTTGTGTGTGTGCGCACCCTCCGTGAGGGGTGCAGATACGACGGACCGCTCTCGCCGTATGTGCATGCGGTGGAGCCTTGTGTGCCGCTCCTGTTTGCTTCTCCCTCTTCCATCTGTGTGTTGGTGCTGCGGCAGGGCTGTGTGTGTGTGTGTGCCTGCTGCCGTGGATTGGAGTGTGTGTCGTGCGTGGTGTGCGGCGTACGGTGCATGCCTGGCTGCTGCCCTCTCTCCTCATGTGGTGTGCCCTCTGTGTGTGTCTGCCGCACCTCTCGTCTCCCCTGTTGCTCTCCATGTCCCTCACTGTGCAGATCAGCTCCACACCACTGAACGACCACACTCACGATGGTGACGTGCCGTCTGCTGTGCGCCCTGTTGGTGCTCGCTTTTTGCTGCTGCCCGTCTGTGTGTGTGACAACGAGTGAAGTTAAGGTCTCACTTAAAGGCAATGATGCAGAGATTCCTCAGCCAAAAGTGCAAGATAACCCCAATGAGGGAAAGAATCGAAATACGGATGCTGTTACGTTACTGTCAAGAAATGAGGCGTCCGGTGCGGGGCCGGATCAAAAGGAAAACACCGGTCCGTTAAATGGACCAGATACACCCAATGCTGGGGGTGATGGAAACAAAGCAGGTACGGCAATAAAACCAAGTACTACGACAACTACAACCACGACAAATGCACCAACTACAACTACGACAACGACCACAAAAGCACCCAATACAACTACGAGCACGACAACTACAACCACTACGACGACCACCCGCCCCTGGCTCAGCCGGCCACCTCAACGTGGTGCCAGGGTCTAGTACTCTTTGCTAGAGAGGAAGCTAAGCGCCTGCTGTTCATGCTTCAAACCCGATGAGTAGTTGTTACTTAGTTTTACGGGCCGGAAGGGCAGATGTTGGAGCCATTCTATAATGGCTGCCCGCGGAGTAAGGTTATCCTTGCTACTGAATTCCTTCGTACGCTTACCAGAGCTGCACAATTGAGGTGTAGTTACTACGACTGGTAAGAGAAGAAAAAAAAAAAAAAAAAAAAAAAACGACCACCCGCGCCCTGGCTCAGCCGGCCACCTCAACGTGGTGCCAGGGTCTAGTACTCTTACTAGAGAGGAAGCTAAGTGCCTGCTGTTCACGCTTCAAACCCGATGAGTAGTTGTTACTTGGTTTTACGGGCCGGAAGGGCAGATGTTGGAGCCATTCTATAATGGCTGCCCGCGGAGTAAGGCTATCCTTGCTGCTGAATTCCTTCGTACGCTTACCAGAGCTGCACATTTGAGGTGTAGTTACTACGACTGGTAAGAGAAGAAAAAAAAAAAAAAAAACGACCACCCGCGCACCGTCACGTCTTCGCGAAGTCGACGGCAGCCTCAGCAGCTCTGCGTGGGTGTGTGCCCCGCTGCTGCTCGCCGTATCCGCGCTGGCGTACACCGCTGTGGGCTAAAAGGGAGCGTGGGCTGTGCGTGCCAGCACTCAGCCACGGGGACATGTGTACGTCTACTGTGGTCCGATGTATGAAGTAAGAGTAATTATGGTGATTGTTTTTTGCTTTGTTTGCTTCCGCTGCCCTGCTGTCTGCTCCGCGTTGCTTCCCAACATCCGTCACGTTGAACGCGTCGCAGACACACTCATATGCATGACACGCATGCAACTGTTTGCGTGGAATCACTGTTGAGGATAGGTGCATGTGCACTGGTGCCACTTGGGTGCAGGTTTTTGTGTTTTTAATATTTTGCTTTATTGCTGCTTGTTTTTTTTTTTTTTGTTTGTTTGGTTCTTCCTTGTTTTTCTTTGTGCACTTTTGTTGTTGTTGGGTTATTGCAGGTCGCTGTGCGTTTTTTGCACTTTCATTGGTTCAATATTTCTCATGAAACGCGTGCTGCTGCTGGTGGTGGTGTTTTTTTACTGTGGTGTGACGTGTCTCTCCTTTTGCTTTCACTCTGCGTTGACGGGGAGTTGGTTTGTGCTGAAGGCTGCACGCAGGTGACAGGAGTGATGGCGATGATGATGACTGGCCGTGTGCTGCTGGTGTGTGCTCTCTGCGTGCTGTGGTGCGGTGCCGGCGGTGGTGCGGCCGAGGAACCTGGAGGAGTGGCAGAGCCCGATGTGGTGCCACTTGGTTCTACTCAGCAACAAATAACAGGTGGCAGTCAACGAGAAGATAAAGGTGCCAAAGAAGAACAAGGACAGGGAAGGGATACAAACAATGGAGATGAACAACCAATAAAAAAAGAAGAAGCAGATGAACAACAAAGCCAAGAACAAATCCAAACACAACAAGACGCTCAAGCACTAAAAGGAAATGCAACACCCCAGCCCGCAGGAAAATCATCGGAAGAAGGCGAAATTGATGACGATTCGGACGTTCAAAATGAAATAAAAGTTTTGGATGATGGGAAACGAAACGAAGAAAGGGTTCAGAGCCAAGAAGAAGTTGCACGTGACGAAGACGCTTCGACAGTGAATTTAAATGACAGCCAGCAGGAAACATCAGGAGGCATACGTACAGGAGACCTTCGGGGAAAAAGCCGACAAGAAGGTGAAAAAGAAGGGGATGATGGGGGGAAAAAAGAACGGGAAAAACACCAAGAAGAGAACAAACGAAAACCACAAGAACAAAATGAAATGCTGCAGCAAAAGCAACAACAAAAACAACAACAGGATCAAGGAAGAGAACATTCAGAATACAATCAAAAAGAATCCACAAAAGATAAAAATGGTGTTGGTACAAATCAAACCGCAATTACACACAACAGCGACAGCAGCACCGCGGCAACCGCGGCCCTGCGGTCTGATGCTGGCAAAGAAGACACTCCAACCACCAATCATCCGAACCGACCCTCCACTGAAGGCGCCACACCACCCGAAAAGACTTCCGATGGTGAAGCTGCATCAGCCAACAAATACGACACGGTCCCTCAGAGTGCAGGATCCACAACAGCGCCAACCACAAACGCCAAAGTAGGTGATACGGCGAAGCCTGTCGACAATGACGGCAGCAGCGCGTTCTCCCACACCACCTCCCCTCTTTTGCTTCTTCTTTTTGTTGTTGCGTGTGCGGCTGCTGCTGCGGTGGTGGCCGCGTGAGAGTGAGGGAGAGAGAGCCGTGCACCGCCCGCACACACACACTCGTCCTTCTCTCTCTGTGTGTGTCCCCTTGCATGGACTCTCGCCCTCACCTCACCCCACGAAGCACACACATAATGTGCCCATTGTATATATTGCATGCACACCCATGCAAGCCCGTTGGTGCTCTCTTTTGCACCACACGCACCGCTGCCGTTCCGCCTGGCTGCATGGGCGGAGCACCGTAACTGTTTCTGTTTTGTTTTTATTGCATTGAGTGGGCGACCTCTCTCTCTCTCTCTCCCTGTGTGTGTGTTTTGCTTTACGGGAGCAATGAGAGTGTGTGCGCTGGTCGTCCCACGCTTCGGCTTTTTGTTTTATTGTTTTTCATTGTGTTGTGGTTGAGAGCACCCATTCCGCGGGCTGCGTGTGTGTGTGTGTGTGTGTGTGATGATATGAGTGATTTGCGTGTGTGCTATCCGCTTCTTTCTGCCATTGCTTTCTTTGGACTCTCTTTTCCTGCACAGCTGCTCCGCAAGTGTAGGCTTTGACACACACACACAAACACACGCCATTTTGCACACGCTGTGGAGCGGCGTGAGTGCTGAGAACGCACGTACAAGATCCCGGCTGTGGCGGCCCTCGCGAGAAGAGCTTGAGTCCGCGATTTGTCCCGGCGACGTGATGCGGTTGTTATGTTGGCGGTGTGCAGCAATTGAGTGGTGTGGCATTTCGGGTGCCTGGGACAATTGCTTATTAACTCTCTTCCAACAGCCGTACCTGCCGATGTGTCACTGCCGTTGTGGATTCGTCGACGGGGGATTCTCCGGCTGTGTGGGGTGATGTGCGGGTGCGCTGGAAGAGACAACAGCAGTACGACTGGCGGCAGCGCATGTGTCCTGCGAAGGGTGGTTGTGCTTTTTTGCATCCCACTGTTTGTGTTTTTTGCGTGGGCGTCGTTCGGTGTCCGCTGATGCGTGAAGAGGAATAACGAAGCACCCGCCGTGGCTCCTGCTGCTGCTGGCGGTGGCAGTCGCTGTGTGTTCCCGGTGCACTGTTCTTTCATCTCCTTTTCCGTGTGTCTGTGTGCGTGAGTTGTTGTTGTTGGGAGTGACTGCGGCGGGGATGATGGTGCCA